ACGTTTTTAGACCAAATATTACAGATTTGAACAAATACGCACAAAAACATCCAAATTAGCACAGAAACAGTACTATATAACATTTTAGACACATTCTAGACAGTTTATCAGCTAAAAAAGGTTAATTTTGGGGTAAGTTACTCTTTAACCTTTTGTTGTTTTTAGTTAAGTTTTTTTTACATTTAGCTTCAAGTTAGCCTTGGCTACATAGTTCTTAGTTAGCATGTGTGCACAGCAACACRGTTTTTGGATAAAATATGACAAAATACAGAAGATGTTTTGCAGACTGAAGTTTATTTCTTTTTGCTGAATCAACACCAGCTTCTGTTTGACATAAAAAAGAACAATCCAGCGTCCGCTTCCAACTACAACCGACAAAAAAAAAGGAAAAGGACGTGCAGTCTCTCATTAATCATCCCATCTGTTTWTAATAATTAGAAAGTGTCAGTTAAGTTAATGCAGTAATGATTTACTGCAGAACGCAGAGCAATGCATCACTTCCATTAAAAGTGCAGAACGTTCACTTTTTATCGATTGTTTTCCTGAAAACGAGCGCCGGTTAAACGTTGAGCACATCTACATACGAACTCCGGGGAGATTTCAGCGGGATTAGCAAAACATATAAACACATCCATCAGCGTGTGCCAAGCTAAAACAGACAGCTGATGAAATATATGGCATCATATGTTCAGTTTCAGTGTTTGTTATTCAAGATGACCGTTAAACATGTGTGTGTGGGTGTGTGTATGTGTATGTATGTGAGTGTGTGTGTGTATAGCAGCCTTGAGGACACACACGTGTGTCCTTCCTTCAGCCTCAGAGCTGCTTATCATTCAGCTGCTGGAGGCTGAGCTCCAGTCTGATTACTCAAGTGTTTACCAGGCAGGCTTCATTGGAGAAGGAGCCACTGTATACATACACATATCCACATTAATTACCACTTCATCAGAACCGGCTTTGTGATCAGAACCGCTGTGAGCCGGGATGAGCTCACACACACACACATACACACACTCAGTCAGAGTATTTTAATGTGAAACGCCCCGAGCAAAATATAAAATCATAATGGAGGTCAGGTGGCCCCTCCACGGCGAGAAGCTGGRGTGTTGTTTTTTTACGCGGCGCGGTAAAAGAGTGGCGTCCAGTTTGATCATCTCTGAGCCCGCAGGCCAGAGACAAAATATTTAACAGTTTCTGWAAGAAGAACAGCGATCAGAAAGAAAAATACTGACAGATTCATGAAAACTAATTATAGATTTCAACTAGAGAATCAGCATTTCCTGCCAAACTGCAGCCGGTTCAGATGTTATCAGTCCATTAAATGGACGTTATTAGCGGTTATCAGCTAAACTCATAGCACCAACAATGAGCTGAAGGTTGTGGTTGAAATAACACAAAGATTGTGGAATGAGTTACAAAAAATGTACAAAAGATAAATAAATGAAGACTAAATTAAAGCATTTTAGCACTACTGGAAAAATAAAATATTTTGTTTTCCTTCTGTAGTTTGAACTGATAATCTATTGGAGAATGTCACAAAGTGATGACCAAAGGTGCAGAAATTGTCCAAACAAATAAAAGTCTTTTATTTTCTCACAGTTTAGACTCTAAATGTGCTGCAGGGCCAAAAATCAAAACACGGCTCCACAAACAGCTGGAGAACAAACTCCCTGATCCGTCGGGCTGCAGAGGACAGCAGGCAGCTGTAAACAGGAAGAAGTAAAGATGGATGAAGAGCAGGTGAGACATAATGTGTTAAAGAGAAAACAGGTGTGTCGGGGCAGAAGGAGGAAATTAACAGGAAATAAAGCTAACAAAGGTTTACAAAAACTGTTTGAGAAAATTTTACTCAATTCTTTACAGCTGTTTTATTGTTTTCATTTACTGTATAAAAGAATGTTCATTTATATATATACTGTATACATACATACAGCGGGTAAAATAAGTATTGAAC